GAGAAGTGTCAGGTCAGAAAGTTAAACTACTTTTGAAGAGCTTTCCAAAATTAGCTGCCCCCGTTTAAGACACTAACAATACCGTAACATGAACAAGAGAAAGTAAACTGCTTTTCCATTTGACTGTATAGTCATTCAGGATACCCTCATTAGTATTCCTTTCTTTTCCCTAAGATCCTGAGTTACAGCTCCAGTAGAAATAATCAAAACAGTTAAATAAAGGGAAAGCTAGGGAAGAAGAGGAGGTAGGAAGGACAACAGAATTTACAAGAAATAAGTGAGAAAGTTTTTGGAGCTCTTTAGCAATGAGAAGAAGAGGAGAGAGCTAGTTGGATTGTTACTTCCAGGAAACGTTACTTCAATGGGACAACATGTTGGATATTTCCCTTGGAGTATTAAGTAATCTAGAACAAACATGGCCTTATTTATAAAACAATTTCAGATGTAAAAAAATGAAATTGCTTAATTTTATCCAATCAGCTTTAAATGCTGCAAACAGAATAAATTCAAACATTCGAAGATTGTGAAGGCTTAAGATTACTAAAAGCTTCTCATTGTCAGAAGCACAAAGTGCTAATCTAGTAAGGAACAGTGTGGCATTGTTACTTTAAATTTAGAGAGAAAATATATTAAAGGCAAAAAAGTACTGATTGTCAGTCAGGCTGGATACAGGTTCACTTTTCAAACTCTCACTGGAATTAAATGTGTGTCATTTGGAAAAACCCTTCAAGTCAATCTTTAATATCACACTATGAACTAATTTTGCTTTTAGTAATCCCTAATTGTCTCAGATATTTTAGAAGTGGACAGTTTGGGTTTTTTTTAGTTTAACATTTTTACTGTTTTCAGTCACTGAATGAGGTTGATTGTTTGCCTAAGTTTCTAATCAAACTGACAAAGAAGAGCCCCAGAAACATGAAATGTTCAAATAGTAAAATCCTCCCAGGTGCTGTCTCAAGTCCCATTTTAGTATGTCTCTGATGTTTTACCAGTCATTTGCTATAAGTAAATGCTGGCATTTCTACAATATTCAGAAACAAAATATTTCATACAGAACCATCTTGAAGTAATTTTATGAAAAAAGATTGTGCTTTTATTTTTATACACAGGTATTCCTCTAACTATTTTATGTGCCTTCAATTTTGGAGAAGCAAGTGCACAGATTCCAAATGTATGCAACTTTCAGCTACTCAGGAGAAGAGAAGCTACAGGAATATCAACATGTAAGTGCAAATAAAATTGGTGCTTTAAGAATATATCTAAATATAATGGTTAAAATGCATTAAGTTGGATTTGTTTTTTTAAAATCCATACAAATCCTTGAAAGTAAGGGCCTGACAAGAGAATTAACAGATTCTGCACTATATTTTCTTAAAGTGTCAGGCATTTCATCACACAGGAACCCAGGCTACTGTATGCTCTTCTCAATGATACACGAGAGGGATTTTAGATGTTAACTATTTCCCACCCTCAAAATTTAAGTAACAATATTACTTTTATGCATCAAATCAGCCACCCAAATCTTAATACATGATGGCAATGTACTAAGACTTACAAAATAGATAACACTGTATTCTTAAACCAGGTTAATTATAGGAATGGTCTTCCATGAATTAGCACTCAATCTGTGAGCGGGGCATTCCTCGCGTGTTTAAAGAATGTCGATGTTGTTCCTGCATCTGCCGTATTCTATCCTTTTGCCACATCAAGTTTGGTGGCATAGGGTATCTTTGTGTACCATGTAAGCATCTGAATGGTATTCTCACATGGCAGGCTGTTGCTCTACAGCGAGGTTGCGGCATGGGAGGCAGAAGCATCCATCGTTTTCTCTCAGCACAGTAACGATAGGCCTCTTTTCTGTATTGCTTATCTATATCATCACTGTTCTTCCACCCACCAATGATGAAAACATCATCTTTATAATAGCAAATGGCTGCCCCTTCAATAATAAGAACTTCTGGAGGCAAACTTTCCAGAATCTCGTCTGGCATTCTGCCAGAGATCTGTCTCTTAGCCTCTTCATTATCTATGGGGTAACTCTTGGGGCAGCATGATGCTGTCTGGTAAAAGTTTGTGTTGGCAACGGACATCTGAAAAGAGCAGTAGTTATCAATGAGTGGCAGCGACTCAATGTCTTGCCAGTGCCTTGTCTCTGTGTCATATCTGGTAATTAATGCCTTTAAGCCATCTTCACTATCATTGTCCACTGGGGTTCGAGCAGCAATGTAAACAAATCTATCTTCTACGGTGACTGCTTTGACATCACGAAGGATCTTTGGGGCTGACTCCAGGTTGTGCCATTTGTCTTGCTCAGGATTGTAAATGGCTACATCTTTAAAGCCAGGACTGAAGTTGCCATGTCCACCAATACTGTACAAGTTTCCCTTGACTTCAGTAAGGCCAAAAGAATGTTTTTTGCTTACTAGATTACAGACTTGCTCCCACACATTTCTGTTTGGATTGTACCTTTCTACAGTCTTGGCAAAGCCAGGCTCCATGGAGCCAGCCACATAAACATATGATTCTGTAACAGCAACAGCATGTCCATCAAGGTAATTATGTATGTGTGGTAAGTTTACCCACCTGTCTTCATCAATGAAATACCCCACACACTCACTTAAATAATCTCCTCCCTCTGATACACCACCAATCACCATGATGACATCCATATTTTGCCCAAAGCGAGGCAGCAATGCTACAGGGTAAGCAGCATGTTGCAAATTACCAGACTGCAAGTTCTCAGCCCTCAGGGCATGACTTTCCACAGCATCAGACACTAATTTAAGACAGGCTTCGTTACTGGATACTAGCCTTTCAGATTTGACATGCCGGGTAAGATAAGTGGGTTTCATCTGAGACAACCTGAGCAGTTTAAAGAGTTCTGCAAAATACCTCTCTCTTTCACCAGCATTTCTCTGAACCCACTTTAAAATGGTCTCAAAAAGAACTTCTTCAGAGTCCACTGTGATTTCCAAGTCTGAAAGCCAGTCTCTGATGAGGTGAAAGGGCAATGTGTAGAATTCTTCATCTTGGATAACTTTGCAGAAGTTCCTTCTTATCATGTCTGCAGCTTTCAGGGCAAGCTGGTTCAAGGAATACATATGAGCTAAGCTATGAATAGCCACACAGTTGGAGAGATTCAGTTTTTTCTTCAAAAATTCTCCACAGAATTCCTTTAACCGAGTCAATAAAAACCTAAAGAATATACAAAGATGAGTTAAGACATTAACTGAAGGGAGCGAGTTTAAGTCCTGTCATATCTCTTTAGCAATAAAGAGTTTATACAGCCCAACAGCTAAGTTTCTGGTGTAATTTATGAAATCAACATTATATAATTGTTCTTTTAACAGCTCCCTTTAACCAATTTATAGCCTACAAGCACACACAAGGCCTGCAAGCCAAATTGGGATACTTACTCTGATCACTAGATATATATTAATTGCTGGTGGAATGGGGACACCTACTAGATCAGTGCATTGAATTCAGATGTCTCCAACCAGTCTACTGTAGCCTCTAATAAATTACCCTTCAGGGAGCTGAAGAGAGCCATGCGCAGATACAAAAATTTTGTAGACACATGTGCATCTGCAAACATGAGCCATGTATATCTGCATACATACCTGCTGATAGAAATCTGATATCAGCACATTTGCAGGGTTCTAGATGCAAAAATGAGCCGCGGATATCCGCATGATACCAGCAAATATAAAGCGAACATCTGCACACTTGGAAGGCTCTAGGGATGAATTTGGGATGCCAAATCTCCATGGTGCAGCTCAGGGATGCTTTTTGGAGGCTAGGAATGCTGTACATGACTTGTGCCCACCCCCAGAAGTACAGCTTGGATCCATTTCTCTTCAGAGAATTCAGGAACTGTAAAACTTATACTAGAAGAGATGAGCTAACTACAAGGATTCAGAGAAGAGACATGATGCTGTTCCTGTAGGAAGAATGTAAGACTCAGAAAGCATGCCACTGTTCTACCTCACACCTCCCTAACAGCTCCATCATCACCCCACCACTAGGTCTAACTTCACCACTTTATCAATAGCCACAGGCCCCAAAGTTCCCTGTCCCACCACCCCCAACAACCACTTTCCAACTTAAGAACAGCCATACTGGGTCAGACCAAAGGTCCACCTCGCCCAGTATCCTGTCTTCCGACAGTGGCCAATGCCAGATGCCCCAGAGGGAATGAACAGAACAGGGAATCATCAAGCAATCCCTCTCCTATTACCCATTCCCAGCTTCTGACAGAGGCTAGGGACACCATTCCTACCCATCCTGGCTAATAGCTATTGATGGACCTATCCTCCATGAATTAACAGAGCTCAAGAAAGAACTAGATAAAAGTCCTGGTCTTGACAACGTCCTCCTGCAAGGAGTTTCACAGGCTGGCCATGAGCTGTGTGAAGAAAAACTTCCTTTTGTTGTTTTAAACTAGCTAGTTATGTTATGGGAATAATTAAATAATTTTTCCTTAGTCACTATTTCCACACCAGTCATGATTGTACTGGTAATCTATCATATTCCCTTCCCCCTAGTATCCACTTTTCTAAGCTGAAAAGTCCAAGTCTTTTTAATCTCTCTTCATATGGGACCTGTTCCAAACCTCTAATCATTTTGTTGCTCTTTTCTAAACCTTTTCCAATGCCCATATATCTTTTTTGAGATGAAACGACCACATCTGTACGCAGTATTCAAGATGTGGGCATACTATGCTTTTATATAGAGGCTATACGATGTTCTTGGTCTTATTTGCTATCCCTTTTTTAATGATTCCTAACATTATTTGCTCTTTTGACTACTGTTGCACATTGAGTGGTTGTTTTCTGAGAACTATACACAATCACTCCAAGATCTCTCTCGAGTAGTTATAGCTAAATTGGTCCCCATCATATTGTATGTATATTGGGATTATTTTTTCCAGTTTGTATTATTTTACATTTACCAACATTAAATTTAATTTGTCATTTTGTTGCCCAGTCACTTAGTTTTGTGAGATCTTTCTGAAGCTCTTCACAGTCTGCTTTGGTCTTCACTATCTTGAGCAGTTTGGTATCGTCTGCAAATTTTGCCAACTCATTGTTCACCCCTTTCTTGAGATAATTTATAAATAAACTGAATAGGACTGATCCCAGTACATACCTTCAGGGGACACCACTAGTTACCTCTCTCCAGTCTGAAAACTGACCATTTAATTCCTACCCTTTGTTTCCTGTCTTTTAACCAGTTATCAATCCATGAAAGGAGCTTCCCTGTTATCCCAAAGGCTCTGAAGTAAAGTTAGTCATCATGGGGAGGGACCTTGTCAAAGGCTTTCTAGAAATCTAAGGACACTATATCTACTGGACCCCCCCCCTCAAAGAACTCTAGTAGATTAATAAGACATGATTTCCCCTTTTCAGAAACCATGATGACTTTCCCTCAACAAATGATGTTCACCTATGTGTCTGATAATTTTATTCTTTACTATAGTTTCAACTAACTTCTTCAGTACTGACGCTAGACTTACTAGTCTGTAATTGTCAGGATCACAAAAGCTGATTTAAAGAATAGGTTACAAACTACAATGAATAGTTCTGCAGTTTTACATGAGTTCTTTCAGAACTCTTGCATGAATGCCACCTGGCCCCAGAGACTTGTTACTGTTAAGTTTATCAATTTGTTCCAAAACCTCCTCTAATGACACCTCAATCTGGGACAATTCCTCAGATTTGTCACCTAAAAAGAATGGTTCAGGTTTGGGAAACTCCCTAACATCCTCAGCCGTGAAGACCGAAGCAAAGAATTCATTTAGTTTCTCCTCAATTACCTGATTGTCTTTGAGTGCTCCTTTGGCATCTTGACAGTCAACTGGTTGTTTACCAGGCTTCCTGCTTCTGATGTACTTAAACATTTTGCTATTAACCAAAAACTCAAACCGTATCTGTTCTTTTTTTGGCATTTCTTATTATATTTTTACACTTAATTTGACAGAGTTTACATTCCTATTTTCCTCACTAGGATTTAATTTCCACTTTTTGAACAATGCCTTTTTCTCTCTCACTGCTTCTACTTAGTTGTTAAGTGGTTTTCTTACTGTGTTTTTAAATTTGAGGTGTATATTTAAGTTGGGCCTCTATTATGGTGTCTGTGAAAAGCTTCTATGCAGTTGAGGGACTTTATTTTTGTCACTGTAACTTTTAATTTCTATTTAACTAGCCTCATTTTTGTGTAGTTCCCCTTTCTGAAATTAAATGCCATAATGTCGGGCTGCTGAGGTGTTTTTCCCACCACAGGGTGGTTAAATTTTATTACATTATGGTCACTATTTTCGAGCATTCCAGGTATATTTACCCTTTGGACCAGATCCCGTGCGCCACTTAGGACTACATCAAAAATTGCCTCTCCCCTTCTGGGTTCCAGAACCAGATGCTTCAAGAAGCAGTCATTTAAGGTATCAAGAAATTTTCTCTCTGCCTTCCGTCCTGAGGTGAAGTGTACCCAATAAATATGGGGATAGTTAAAATCCCCCACTATATTGAGTGTTTTATTGTGATAGCCTCTCTAATCTCCCTTACCATTTCACTAGCACTAGCCTGGTGATCCTCTGAAATTAAATGCCATAATGTCGGGCTGCTGAGGTGTTTTTCCCACCACAGGGTGGTTAAATTTTATTACATTATGGTCACTATTTTCGAGCATTCCAGGTATATTTACCCTTTGGACCAGATCCCGTGCGCCACTTAGGACTACATCAAAAATTGCCTCTCCCCTTCTGGGTTCCAGAACCAGATGCTTCAAGAAGCAGTCATTTAAGGTATCAAGAAATTTTCTCTCTGCCTTCCGTCCTGAGGTGAAGTGTACCCAATAAATATGGGGATAGTTAAAATCCCCCACTATATTGAGTGTTTTATTGTGATAGCCTCTCTAATCTCCCTTACCATTTCACTAGCACTAGCCTGGTGATCCGTAATACAGTAGACTTCCAATAATCCGGAACCTATGGGACTTAGTCCAGCATATCTGATAATCCAACACCACCTATCAGGAGGTACTATAAACTGGTTTACACACACACACACACACACACACACACACAATATTATATATATATATACACACACACACAGTATACATTATATACTGTATATAAAGTGTTCTTAGTATATAAAGTGTTCTTAACCCTTTTTATTGTACATACTGTATACAGTATACTATAACGTTTTAGTTTTTTTAAGCCTTTTTACCCTTTTTGCTCAGTTCAGCTGCTGCCGCTGTTACCTTGTAACTCATTTTTTGCCGAAGCTCACTCACTAGGCTCTTGCCATTTCGATGCTGGACTATCAGGAGTGCCGGACTACTGGATGCCGGATTATTGGAATTTTACTGTATATCCCTTCTACGATATTATATTATTATTAGAGCATGGAATTACTACCCATAGAGATTCTATGGAACATTTTGGTTCATTTCTGATTTTTACTTCGGTTGATTCTACATTTTCTTTCACATATAGTGCCACTCTCCCACATCTCTGCACTTCACCTACTAGCTATCTCCATCACCTCCTCCCTTCACCTGTGTGTCTGCTTTACCAGCTTTTACCTTTCTCCTCTGTGCCGCCTTGCCCCCCTCACCTATCTAGCCACCCCTAACTCCAACGACCACTCTAGCAACAAACCAAGCAGACAGCTGCCTAGGGTGGCAGATTTACTCCGGCCACCCGACATTTGAATGGTGCCCAGTGCACTAGATCAAAACGCCCCTCACGGAAGTTTCCCTTCCCCCTGAAAAGCAGGGAGGCCAAATCTAATATGGGTCTATGGGGGAGAAGGGGATCTGGCAGTTTTGCGGGGAGGAAAAGGGAAAATCGCCTCAGGCAGCCTCTAGCCAGGCTCTTTCCTTCCTTCACCCGTGAAGCACCTCAACCCTCGCCCTGTCAGCCACAGGGCCCCTCTGCCCCCAAAAGCCGGCCTCCCTGCACTCCCCCTCACCTGTCGGCCATCTCCAGCACCTCGTGCACATTGCCCGGGCTGACACGGATGCTGCCCGTGTATATGAAGGCGATCACCGCTTCCACCGTGTCAGGCTCGGGTCCCCCCTCGGAGCTCCCCGTGAAGCACCTCAACCCTCGCCCTGTCAGCCACAGGGCCCCTCTGCCCCCAAAAGCCGGCCTCCCTGCACTCCCCCTCACCTGTCGGCCATCTCCAGCACCTCGTGCACATTGCCCGGGCTGACACGGATGCTGCCCGTGTATATGAAGGCGATCACCGCTTCCACCGTGTCAGGCTCGGGTCCCCCCTCGGAGCTCCATTTCCGCAACTCCACCCGGCCGGAGCGCGACTCGGCGAAGCCGCCCGACAGCAGCGGGGGGAAGTAGTCGG